ACCACGCAGCCGACTGGAGGCACGTGCCACTGCCCAATTAAAATGGTTCAGTAGAATGCATCCATTTTTTTTCTTCGTCCAAACCCGCCGAGATGAGAGAGTGTGCGTCAACCGCTTAGTGCCGTCTTCATGTGAAAAAAATTTATTGTCAATCTAGCCAAAAAGAAGAGCTATAAAATAGAGTGTGTAACTGTGTGTGTGTGTGGGGGGGGGGGGGGGGGGGAGATGTCAGTTTTTTGTTTTGTTTTGTTTTTTGTGGCAATTTTAGTGTTGGGTGTTTTAAGATAGACAAACAATCAATTAACTATTTTTCGGTATCTATTCTGTCAGCGGGTACAAACAGAGTGACAAGCAATTACATGGTACCTACATTGTGAAAGCACCACAAAGTTTGATGTCCTGGTAAGGTGTCTAGGATAAATATGCTTTCAAGTTCTCCGACATATCACGCTTGGACCTGAGATGGCCTGTAGTATATTGTAAATACATCATCCACCTCCCCCCGAACAGTTTGGCACAAACGAAGGTTCCAAGAACCATCAATATTGGCCGTTTTAGGCTTTCCATCAGGTCTCTGGGAGCCAGACTGAACTGGAACTCATATTCAAAGCCTGTCAATGTAATCATGAGGTGAAGAAACACATCTTCAGAGATTTCTCCTGGCTTAGGGATGCTTCTTGCTTGTGCATACTTTCAAACCTTTCCAAGACCACTGAGACTTTCTGACCATGTCAAGTGTGTCCTTCTGGTACAACCACTCAGGGTAACCCACAAGTGTTAATGTCTCAAAACTCATCCTCGAATATCAGCATTTATCACTATACGTCCCAAACTTCTCAAAAATGCCATAAAACAATGCCAACGAATTCCTAGAAAAACCTATAGTTTTGTAGACAGACTCATGGGTTCTATGTAGAATGTTCAGAAATACCCCCTTAACCACAAAGCTACCTGTCATAAAAACCTGACTGTGAGCAATCTCGAAAGCAACTATGAACTTAGCTGGCTGACGCAACGTTCAACATTCGTTACAGAATTTTACGTACCGCAGAATTTGACGAGAGAAATGACAGTCCTCGCACATGCGGGAGTCCGCAATAAAAAGTCCCACTAAAAGAGCACTAACCCAACTCAGCATAATAAACTGACGTATAGCTCCGTTAAAATTACTAAATCTTCCCCCTCTAAACAAAGCACACCAACCAGCTGACATCAACCACGAAAAACAAGGAGGTTACGGTATGCCCAGGCCACGTGTGTAAACCTTGTTATGGGGATCGACGACCGGCGTGTTAGCACACCGCGACTCGAAGCATGTGGAGCGAAAGCATGTGCTGCGGAACTTGGAGACCATGTCTTGTCCCCCCCCCCCCGCCGTTCTGAACGAGCATTGTACCGGCATATGTACAGGCAATGTAGCCAAAACTAACTGTCATACTGCACTACCTAGATCCCTCACCTGTGGCATACACCAGTGTCACCATACATCTAATTTGCCTTTTTTTTTGCCAAGCTCTTTTTAGTTTACTACACACACGGTATAGCATCTAGCTTTGGCACACAACATATTTAAACTAAGCCATACCCCCCAAAAAATGCTTGAAAAAGCAAATGATAACTTCGGAACAATCACTTCACATGAGTCACTGTCACAGTGTGTTGCTACTTTGCCCCGATTTGGATGGATTTCCCTAGTGTTGCCTGATGGCAATCTATGTTTACCTTCCTAGCCTATCATACCACTGTCAGAGATTCAACAGGAAGTGTGACAGAAGTCCGTGGAATTACTAAAAGACTGTTCCGGACAGGTTAATAGCCTTATACTGCACACTTATCTTACGCGCACCAAACATACTCCTTGTGTTTTGAGCAAAAGTGCCCGTCAGAGAAGATGCCTTGGCACGGTTTGTGTCCCCTGCACACAAAAGTGACCCAGGCCTTGCTGCCTCAAACTGCTTCCCATCTGGACTTTGACTTACTTGCTCAACATAGACAGCTGACCTCGGCAAGAACAAAACATTGTTATCGGGCCAACCGGGGGTCCCCATGACATTGCGAAGCCACTCTCAAGGATGGACAGTCCTGATAAACGAACGTGTTTCGGTTCACAGATGAGAAACAACCACTCCAGGCGAGAAACAAAACAGACTGCCACAGCTTCTCGGGAAGCGATTGACACACACCCCAAATGCCAAAGTTTACTCTTAGTGTGTGGTGGCAGCCAAGAGACAACCAAATGTGCAAACGCTCTCCTCCTTGCAGCAGACATTTGGTGGCAGCTGGTAAAATGTGAAACCTCCGAGGAAATGTGAAACATCCTTTATACTTTACTGTTCATGAGTGTGCACCCACTCGAGCAGACAGTATGAAAGCGAATGCTTAGATCAATACTGCACTGTAGTCTACCTCTTTTGCATCGTGGGCAAAATAACCATCGCTTCGTTTTTACTCATGACCTACAATAAACCTCTTTTGAAAGTTACTTTTAAGTTGGATGCTGTGGAAGCCCAGCATCATGATGATAAGGGGAGACACCAGCCAAGTGGGAACACCACAAATTTACTAATGCCACTTCATTGCCAGCTTATGTAGTTTTAGAGTGGCACATCTTGTGATGTCACTTGTTCTACCATTGTGAGGTAGTTCAAACCTTCCAACAGGCATATGACTTTTGAAAGGGTCTCGTTGCATTGTTAAGGGATATGAACCCCGACATGAACAGGGTACTCAATGGCAACATGGAATTGTGTAACTGAGCATGGACATCAAATTTCTTTTGGTTGTGAAAGTGGATTCAATAATTCATTGAAGGTCCTCCCACATAGACCAGAATGCGTCACCTGTCATCACTTCTCTTGCGTGATTCAGAGTAGCACCTATTGTGTCACACAACCCTCTCCCCAAGGAAACATCTGTTCTACAAGGAAAAGAGAAGCACGCCCAGAAGTTGCTCAGATTGCTTTAAGCTATCCAGCCTCAAAAATAAACAAAGCCTTATGAACAAAGACAGTGCTGTGCTGCCTGCTAAAATGGATTAACCGAACAGCTGGTTTGGAAAATGCAAAGGGCAAATTGCTGCATTGTGATCCAATTTGAGGTCCAGACGGTCGCTGACATCACCGCCAAAAGCTGCACACTTGTACTGTTATGGGAGCGCCTTGCATGCAAGATACTCACACAAAAACCTGCAATGATAGCAGGTGACTACATGCACTAGCTGCTGCACATGCAATGCACTTGATGCCAAAGTGTGTAAGCCTTACAAAGCGTGCCAAAAATAACAATGTTAGGTTGCGCACATTTTGTCACTCCAAATAGAACTGAAATTTGGAGGCTGAAGTGATCGAAGGATGTGGAGCTACATAGGAACTTATGTAACAAAGCCAAGAACACCCGAAAATAGTACACCGAAGCAGATTAGGCGAATTGTCAACCCTTCCTTATTCGTTATCTGAACCTGTAAACGAGTGCATGCCACGTGAGAGAACACAACACGCAACGCGCGCAATGTGCGCGAAAACTTCCGAGAGCGCGCGCAACCGCGGCAAATCATTAGGCTTAAGTAGAACATTGAAAAACAGGTTTTTCGCTGGCTGCAGCTATGACCCTTTGTTCCGACCCTTGCAAAACACCGTACCACACGCACGGTGCCAAACAAACACCGCCACACACGCGTTTTCAGAGCGTCAGCAAAAATATACGGGGAGGGGATCGAAGGGGGAACCACCACGGGGAAAATCAAAAGCGCCAGACGAACGAACGTAGTCACTTTACGTAATCTCGCCTGACCCGTGAACGCGCAGGTTTCCGTCACGTTTTCACGTATTGCTTGCGCAACAATCGTGCACGCGTGCAGAACGGTGTACAGAAAGAGCACGTATACAAAGGTCCCCCAACGATTTCATCGCACTGCCATCGGAATGGACGAGCAGCTGATCGCTGTTTTCCATAGTTGGAACGCTGGGGTGGTTCCACGTAGAAAACCTTCGAGCTGCGATGCGTTCGATCCGATTCGACACCAATGTTCCCCATGCGTGAATGAACCACGTTCGGTCCATGTAGAACGTCGGCATCAACGGCGATCACGCGGATCAGCCTACGAGAGCGGGCAAACGGGCTCTTAGCAACAAAGGGGGGTTGCCACAGACTGCGCGATTTCTGGCCGCAGCCAGTTTCAGTCGCAATGCCACAAACCTCGGCGCATATTGCCACATTTACCGAGAACACGCCGATCCCAAAATCACGGTTAGGCTCGAGAGAAGGCGTGCGATTAAAAATACACCGAGGTACCGAAACGAGACGACGGGGACCACAACACGCCCGAAAATTTCGATCAGTCGCAGCAGCGACAGTGCGCAGTAGCGATCGAACGAGTAGGAAGGATCTTGCTGAGGCAGACCACGTTTCCCTGGCTCCTATCTGTTCTAACCGAGGAAATCAGAGCCGAGAACGGAATACGGGAAGGGACGTCGGAAGAAGAACGCAAACGCGAGCGGACGCGGCGCACAAAGCGCTTTGTGTGAGTGTGTCGTGCGCGTTCGTCGAGCACGTTTGCATACTACGCAGATAGGCAGGGTTGCCGAGTCGCTCGGAAACAGAAGAGACGCTGGCTCAGAACCGAACATTGCAAAGACCAAGAGCGATCTTTCGTCGCAATTGATCGTCAATCGCGACCGACTTGGCGAAATTAGCGAACCCAAAACGCGCGCACCACGCGTGAGTGGCTTCGATGCTCCTCTTCCGACCAATTTTTCCTGCTAACCGAGTACGCGTACAAACCCCGCGCAGATCCAACGCTGCTGCCCAGCCATCCAAGCTTACCCAGGCTCCCGTGATCGGTCGAGAACGGGCGCAGGGGCTGCATGCGAGCCCCAAGCGACGCAAGAAAGGTCAGCTCCGAAAGGAAAACAAAGAAGCGGCGGCCGTCGCTCGCTCGAACCTTGTCGGAACGGGAAAACCCCCGCAAGAAGAAAAAAAGAACACCGGACCCCGGTACTTACCACTCGGCTTGCCCGACGTAAATCCATCGAAGCCCTCATCGAAGAAGTTGCCAATCCGAGCGATTCCAGCGTTGACAAAAGGGTCTTGGTTTTTTTTCTTTCTCCCGTCTCCAGCGGCACTGCGTTGTTTTGATCGCGAGGCGACAACCAGCTGTTTCTTACGCCAGCGAATGCGCAGCTGAGCACCGAAAACGAGCCTCCTTCGCGCAGCCCCAGCGCTGTCTCTCTCCGACAAGGCGCAGCCAATGGGCGTCGCGCAGCGGCGGCTCGGCTCTTGTCATCCGCCGCAGCCAGCGGAGTCAGTCAGGGCATTGGCCCCCCTTCCTCGGACGCGCACCCTTTGGACGACAACAAACGCAAAACGAGCCGCCCGATGATCTAATCCACGCAGGCAAACTCACGTCGGGGCATTCGTTCCCCGATTTTTTTTTTTTTTTTTCTCCGGGGAAATCGAGCTACTTGTTAGCAAAAAGGGAAAAGAAAGAAAGAAAGAAACGAAAAAACACCCTTTCGATTTGGGAGGTTTTGTAGGAATGATCCCCCCCACTGGAAACTCGCGACGTCGTGTTTCAGGAAGCGGGGGAGCGTCTTTCTTTCGGTCGGTTCAATGTTCGCGCCTCTTCGTCTCCCTGCGCTCTTCTTTTTCGACGCCGCGTCTTTCGCACGCAGCGAGGGGCACACAGCTGTTTTTAGGCCCTTAGGTGGACCGCTCGCGTACTATATCATGCGTGCCAAGGGGGGGCAATTTTGGGGGTAGGACCCCCCCCCCCCCCCCCCCCCCCAAGCTTTGTTGTTTGTTCGTTTTCCTCTCGGCTGCTTCGTGAATAAGGTTGGAGGTGCGTCCGAGGTGCCGCGCGCTTGGAGCCATCGCGTACACACGCAAACGATTACGAAAAAAATAAATAATGCAAATAAATAAGGTGTTGCTCCTTCCCGGACGGTCCTCTTGAATGAAGGCATTCATGCTGAGCCGCGTCGCCTTATCCTTTTGTTGGATCCGGACCCTCCCGATTCCCGTGTGTGTGACCTAGCGCGCATCTTTCTTTTTTTTTTTTTTTTTCTCCCGTTGAGCCAAGTAACCATGCATACACTGAAAAGGCATTTTGATTGTGATAACTGGCTTAATACTAACGGCAGTCCTTTTTTTTTTTTAACAACAAAACGGGAGGGGAAAGAAAAAGGACAGGTTACTAACATTTAGGCCCCCGTGGAGGAACCGTTAATCTCTATATTTTTAGGTTTGTTCGAGCGACCGGCCAGTAGCCCCATCGCATGAGTGGTCCTCTTTCATGCGTTTATATTGTCCGTGGCTTAATCATGCGGGCTGCGTCGTGTCGCAGGAAGTACTGTACGTCCGATCACGTTCTGACGCCACGGTGCATCGCTGATTGCCTCCTGATTGCTGTTGCAGTCACGTTTTTTGTTGCCATGCTGCTCTGAAAAAATAAACAAAACGTATCGTCTGCTACAAACGCTTCCGTCTGTCCTGTGCTGCCATCTATCTCAGGTTGGAGACAACCATTCTCTTGAGCAGTTGGCGTATCGTCCGCTGGAAACGGCCGCGCTTCTGCAGAATCGTTTGGTTCGGATGGCTTGGTAATGCATAGCTTGGTCCCGTTTTGTGACAAATTTTGGGCTCAGTTTTGTGCACTTGTTTAAAACCTACCACATAGCAAAAAAAAAAAAAAAAAAAAAAAAGAAAGGAAAGGATTAAAGCATCGGCATCTGCATACGCGCTTCAATTTAATTATTATTATTTTTACGGGGGTTAATAACCCTTTAAAACATGCTATTTTCTTATTACCGTCTGATAAATTTATCTTATGATATTATTGTCAATCGCCACTGCGTAAAGAAGAAGATTAGTGGCACCGTCAACTGCCAAACAATCAGCATAAATCGATGGCAGCCTATTTGATAACATATGAGATATTTCGCGTGAAACATAATTGCACGAGCACGAGGTCATAGACGATCTCCCAGTAAGAGCAGTGGCCTACCTTGGGTTTGCCTCAAGGGGGCACGTGCCCCGGCCGCCACAAGGCGGGGAGACGCCGGGCCGGGAAGTAGCCGTGAAGAAAAGGCTTAGCCTGTTAGAAGAACCCAAAGAAAAGCGGTCACGGAAAAAGGCAGAGGAGAGGCACAGAAAGAGGATGCCCTAAGCGTCTTGGAGGGGATTAAAAGGACACTAAAACACCCCCCCCCCCCCCCCAGTTTTTTTTTTTTTTTTTTTTTTTGTTAGGTGATCGAATATGGTGTCAGAAGCCTACTTTATCAATATTTCGCTACAGTGTCACATATACTCAGAAAAAAGTAAAAAAAAAAAAAAAAAAAAAAAAACGCAACGTCTCATATTAAAACCGAAACTGGACTGGGGAAGAGAAATGTACCGAAAATCACCTGGCTGTGCAAATTTTTTTTTTTCAGTCATTTTTTATTTTTTTATTTTTTAGAAGCCTTCGACGACCCACGAGTTTGATAATCTTTGGTGGTTGTGTCTAAACCATAGCAAACGGCACGTGACCACGGAGAAGAGAGTGAGCGCGACTCAAACCGGCCAATTCTCGATTGGCAGTTTTCGGGCGCAAAGAAAACGAATTTCGAGTCGCGAATTCTGTTCTGGGTAGATGGGCCCTCACATGTCATGTACAAATAAAAACCTTTGCGGGCATAAATACTAGGGGTGTCGCGAACCGGCCGCGGTTCGAGTTCGACCAGGTTCGACTTTTTCGAACTTTTAGTGGAAAGTTCGTCGAACCTTGTATTGAGGTTCGACTCGTGTGCGCATGCGCGACAGGCTGGCCAGTTGGCTTCGGATTGGATGGTAATAGCTAAGAGATGAATTAAGTGCAGCGCTGATCGGCTATTTCAGTCAATAGAGTACTAAAATTTATTTTTATTAACTTCTTCAGTGAATAGAATTAGTTTCTTTTAATTGCAGCTGTTCACACAATAAAATAACCCTTTGCATAAAAAAAGAAATTCTCCAAACCTAGACATGCTTGTATCAAGGTCTGGCCACACTGTCCACAAAGTCGAACCGGTCGAATCTGGTGAAAAGTCGAAGGTTCGTCGAACCGGTTCGACCCAGTCGAACCCCGAAAGTTCGACCAAAAAATCTGGTTCGACAAAAGTTCGCGACACCCCTAATAAATACCCTGTTAGTGTCTCTTCGTGGCGCCACCACAGCGCGAGCGGTCAAATCCGAAAACACACTTGTTTTTTTATTTTTTTTTTTTGTTTTTTTCTAGAGGAAAAATATGACTTTGGGCTTACACCCTTCTTTTCTACCTCCGTGAAACAGTCGCCGTAAGCGCGATCCAAACCAACGCGTTTTTGTGCGCGCGCGCAGGCCGTTCGCTATTCGGAAATTGCGTATTACGTGACGTCGCGCTGATTCCTTCACCTTCCGGGCGTGCATAAGCGAATTGTATGATTTCAACTGCTTCTGAACGCGCACAAAAACGCGCAGTGACGTAGTAGGGCACTCTTTTCCCGGCCAATCGGTGGAGGGCACCAGTTCCGGCTCCGCGTTTCTTCGTCGTCTGGCGCAGGTGCTCTGCTCGCCCGCCTCGCCCGAAAGCGCACCGCCCTAACCAACGCGCACGGTTGTGACTCAGAAAGCGCACCGGAAACGGCAGAAACATCACGAAATGCGCAATTTCCGGGGAGCGCACGACCCACGCGCGCACGAAAACGCCTTGGTTTGGATCCGCTTCTGGCGCCCCCCCACCTCGTGCATTTGTTTACCTTCGAATACACCCACGCGCTTTTGTATGCTTTCGACCCCAGGCAATGACACCGCGCGCTTGGAGAAAATAGGCGAAAGAGAAAGAAAGAAATACAAATGCGTTTTGGGGAGAAGCTGCTAGGTCCCCTGGCGCTAAGAGTTCTCCCCTTCCTTCGCCCCCTGCGCTACCATTGCGTTCGCCATTTTGCCGCTCCTCCTCTCTCTTTTCCGTTAACCGGGCGCTCTACTGTGACGTCGTCAGCGTGTCTAAGGGCACCAACAGACGGGATCGCGCTCATTTGGGTGTAAAAGAACACCCAACTTAGTAAACAGTATAGTAAATAAAACTTTCACACGAATGAAGGGTTTTGTTTCCGGTGTGCGCACCCGCTTGAAAATTAGAAAGAGTGTATTACGCGAAATAAAGCGCCGAAAGGGTGTAAGGAAGGTTCGACGGAACAACATTTCAACACCCAAGTGGTCCAGACCAGATGCCAACGTTTCAGAATTAAGTATCTGACTCAAAAGCTATCGAAAATTTTGTTTTTTTTAACTTTCAACGAGAGGGAATGGCGCGTGTTCCCGATAACCGATCGCTGTTCACCTCCCTACGTTTGCGGGCTCCATTGTTCGGCATTCCCGTATTTAAAACGTTCGAAACTCGCCTGTGACTTTTGAATTAGATAACGGTGAGTTCGGAAACTTTGGCACATGGTCCCAACCGCTGGCGCTATGTGTTTGGGCGGAGACAGAGTATAGACCAGCACGCGGCCCTGACGTCACGGAGCTGCGGTGGCGCTGTCGACGGCACTGCGCATGCGCAGGTGCTTCCCTTCACGCGAATTCCGTTTCTGGGCACAAGCAGTGCCCACGCCTTGTGTGGGCAAACGCGGGCTTGTTTGGAAACAGCGTGTCGGTCTACACGGCAATGCGTAGTTGACATTTTTGCGGTGAGAAAAACACGGTTATTTTTTCTCTCAAACACCCGGTACTTTCCGGTTCACGGATTTGGAGCGAAGCCAGTAGCGTCGAAAGTTTTCCGGAGATAGGAGGGAGGATTTTTTGTTTCTTCCCTTTTTGTTTATTAGGAATGTCTGAGACGTTATATGAAGGGGGAAATTGCTCCTACCCCAGGGCAACAGACGTTATGTCATTTCTACATGGTGAGAGATGTATTCAAAAACGCAAGAAGTCGTGGACGAAGAAAAGACACAAACAACACGGACCTTCACCTATGTGCTTTCATCAACCAACTAGCCACATTAAAGGTTATAATTCGGAACGATGACCTCGTGGATAAAATACCACAGTTTATCGCGTGTCTGGACATACGAACGGGTGTGTTAGCTAGTGGTGCAGTAAGCTTGCGCCCTTTCCCTAAATGAAAAAGTCCACGTAGGATGCGATGAGGAATGTCAGAGTGTTCATGCGGTTTATAAGCAGCATATTAATGCCACCGTATGCACCGTTTCCTGCATGAATCTGGTCAAGATGCCACGGATC